GTGTGTGTGTGTGTGTGTGTGTGTGTGTGTGTGTGTGTGTGTGTGTTCTCGTTTTTATTACCTGGTGGGGTCCACAGTGTGACTTTTCACTCACCTCGTGGGGACCAATTTTACCCGTGGGGACCAAAGCCTGGTCCCCACAGGCACGAGCATTGCAATCAATAGGAAACAGCCTGCTGATATGCCTGGTGAAGTTTAAAAAAAAAAAAAAAAAAGGTCCCCGTGGGGTTGAATTTTGAGACACAGTGTGTGTCGACTTTTCACCCTAGAGGTCAAAGGTGGTATTCACTGTCTGAAATTGCACCCGTGGGGACAAATTTGTGACAAAGTGTGTAACACACTTTGCCATTTAAATTGACATTTCCTGTTAAAAATTATTACTGTCTTGTATAATTTGAAAATTTTGAAAATACATAAATATTGATGCATAAAATACAAATAAAAATAATAATTAATAAAATAATCATTATTATTTAATTTTTATTTGGCCAATAAAAATGCAAATTAGAATTAAAACACAAAATAGAATAAAATAATACAAAATAGGATAAATACAAATGAGAAATATCCATATTACAAATAAAAATGACTAAATCATTTGAAATTCATTTTCAAACATAAGCCACATCAAAGCAAATCACTAAGGAATAGACAAGTTCAGTATAGCTGAAATCATACATTCAACCGTTATTAATACAGTTTAGTTTATTTGAGCCTGGAAGACATTTACAAGAGATATCTGTTTTTTAAAAAAAGACCATAGATGGGGTATAGGCAACAATAAACATTCATATAAAAAGCTTATCAAATGAAAACTAAATAGGAGAAATCAATTAAAAAAAACGCATCATAAAGCAATGTAAAAGACTAAAAACAGGAACATGTCTGCGTTAGTTTTTGCCATGAAATCAATAGTTTTTTAAAAATCCCTTAGCGTTGTCGAAGTCAAGATCTTCAGATCTTTTGGTAAAGAATTTCAGAGTTATGACTGCTGAAACAGTTCTTTTTGTATTAAAATAATCAATTCTATTCAAAAATACTTTATTAATCCCAGAGGGAAATTATATGTTGTAATAACTCATCATCCTGGTTTCATTAATGAGTTGTTATAGATGCTGATGGCTGTGGGCAGGAAGGATCTCTTGTAGCGGTCTGTCCTACAACAGAATTGAAGAAGCCTCTGACTGAAGACACTTTGTTGTTGTATGACAGTCTGATGAAGAGGATGCTGAGGGTTGTCTATAATGTTCTTCATTTTATGAAGAATCCTTCTTTGAACAATCATCTCCTAAGGTTCTAGAGGAGTCCCCAGAACTGAGCCAGCCTTCTTTATGAGCTTAATGATCTTTTTTAAGTCACTTGCTCTGGTGCTGCTCCCCCAGCAGATGATGGCAGAAGAGATAGCGCTCTCTACAACAGACTTATAGAAGATATGCAGTATCTTGCTGTAAACGTTGAAGGACTTCAGCTTCCTCAAGAAGTACAGTCTGCTCTGTCCCTTCTTGTAGATGGCTTCACTGTTGCATTTCCAGTCCAGTCTGTTGTCCAGGTGAACCACAAGGTATTTATACTTCTCCACCACCTCCACTTCTTCTCCCATGATAGAAATAGGGTTGTACCTGTTCCTGATTCTCCTGAAATCTATAATAATCTCCTTTGTTTTGTTTACATTCAAGATGAGATGATTGTTTCCACACCATGCCACAAAGCGG